AAGATATGATAGCATATAGGTGGCACAGATATTGAGGGAGTGGTCAAACAATGACTGATACAGTTTGAGACCCATGCCAAGAGAAGGAGCCCACCCCTGAGACTGCATGAATTGCCAGGATCCAGAAGATGGATAGTTGAAAGACCTAGGATAAATATAAAACATGACTGGAAAAATTCATCGAAATGGTTCCTAATGATCTTCTGCTGTACTCTTAGATTGGTGCCTAGCCCATCTGTCATCAGAGAGATTTCATCCACGAGCCGATGAAAACGCATAAAGAGACCAACAGCCAAACATTAGACAAACTCGGGAATTCTGAAGAAGAAGGAGAGGAAGAATTTATAGGCAATAGAAGTACCAAGACCACCATAAAAACCCAATGAATCACCTAGCCCACAGAGACTTCACTAAAAACCACACGCTTGCACGGGAATGACAAAAGGCCTCTGCAAATAAGTGCCTGATTGGTAATATGGTCTTCTTGTGGGACTCCTAAAAGTGGGAGCAGTGGCTGTCTCTGCATGGTCCGATGACTTTTGGGGCCATTTTCCTCTAAGTTGCATCTTCAATTTGACATGACATGTTTGGGTGATATCCATTGGAGGACTGTATTCCAATGAAGAGGATTGGAAGAAAAGATGGGGCATCAGGGGAAAATGGGGAGGAATTTGGATTAGAGGAAAGAGGCGGAACAGAAAATTGCTAAATAAATCAATATACATGCATACATATGTATATATATATATTTATTTATATTTAAGACCACATTGAAAAACTGAAGCTGAAACATAAGTAGTCATATATCTTTAGAGGACACAGATTCGACATGGCAAAAAAATCAAAGCAGGGTCACTGTGAGTGATCAAAAGTGGATTATGGAGTACGAGAAACCTAAATTATGATGCTGTATTTAAAGAAAACCTTTGGAAATAAGCAAATGTTCATAGACTCATAATTTAGTATTTGCGAGTTTCTCTTGTGGAGGGAATTTTTTTAAATTTTGACTGATTGTGTTTATTCTTAGGTTAATAACCCTGGCTAGAGCAATAGAATCAGTCATCTATATGTGCTAAATTAGCCCTTCCCTGGAGATGAATGACAGTGATGGTCAATTCCATCAAATTCACTCTGCTGAAAATACAAGGTTATGCTGGAATGTGAATAGAGGCTCACTGTATTTACAAGTGTCTTCTAACATTTGGCAATAACTTTACAAAAATATTACTATTTTGTTCAGATTTTGGTGTATTTTAATGAATCTGGTGGGAATAGTATTGTTATGAAAATAATGGATTTAAGAAAATTCTATGAAAAATTAGTGAGACGTAGGTAAACTGATCATGTAGTTATTAATATTGTCTCACCACTTATTCTTTTTTTATTTTTTCTTTTTTTATCATTTTTTATTTTAATTTTAAATAGCTTGTTTTACATGTCAATCCCAGTTCCCTCTCCCTCCCCTCCTCCCGCACTTCCCTTCCCCCCCTCCCTCGCACCCTATTGCCAAATCCTTCCACATAGGGGATATCTAGAGTCTGTCATTTTACTCTTGGTAGGGTCCATGCACTGCCCTAAGAGTCCAGGCTGAGAGATCATCTCTCTTTGTGCTATAGGCATACGAAGACAGTTTGTATACCAGGGATAGACACTGATCCACAGCTCAGGGCCCCATAGGTTGCCCAGGCCTTCTCACCGACACTCACATTTGTGGGGTCCAGATCAGTCCCATGCTGGCCTCCCCACTGTCGGTCTGGGGTCCAGAGCTCTCCCCTGTTCAGATCAGCTGTCTCTGCTGAATAGATTGTAAGAGCCAGAAGAGTTGGATGACCCCAAGGAGACAGTGTCTTCTTCACACAACAGGACTGACTCATGCATAATGAACTTACAGAGACTGTGAAAACCTGCAGAGAGCCTGAGCCAAGTCAAGCCATATGGGTTCTCAGTGTTGATGGAGGGACATGGACACAGGCAGTCATCCCTAACCAGGAAGTTTCTACAACCGACCCTTGCTTGCAAAGGAAAATCTATTGTTCTCCAGTCTCTTTGGGCGTATTAACCCATTTAAGGGTAGGCACAAGTGCAAAAATAGATAATTAATGGAAATTTAACTTTATGACACCTTTTATTATATTTTCACTCATAACACGTTGTTTGTGCATTTCCTTTATATCTTACTGCACTTTTGCCTGTATCTCATGGTTGCATAGTTGTATGTTTTTATGGGTTTTGTGTGTGTGGCATCCTTATTTTCTTAGTTTTTTAATGCCTGATGATTTGATCCTTCTTGTTTTTAACTCCCTTGCTTTCTACAAACGAAAAGAAATGGTGGGATGTTCACTGAATCGGGAGATGGGGAAAATCTAGAAGGCGTTGGAAAAGGACTATCAATGACCAGAATAACTTGTATTAATTTTCTTCAGTTACATCATAAAATATATAAAAACTGATTAAAATATACAAGAATATATAAGCCTGTGAAGTGTTTAACAAATAATCTACACTCAACTGGAGAATGTAAGCATCACATATCAATCATATCAGGTGAAGGTCAGCTAGTAGACTCAAGAAAGGAAAACAGAGAGGATAAACATTACCCTCCAGAGAAGTTTCTGAGCTTCTTATCCCTATGGCGTTTACATCATGAGTCTCTGTGTTTCTCCTATCCAGAGTTCTCCTGGAATCCTAGTCCCAACTATGTTCCTTCCCAATAGGCCAACAGTGCTTTATTGACATATACACAGAACTTCCCCCATCACCCTACATATCAACTTCATCTCTCTTCTGGGGATTCTTGGCTCCACTGCACCTACTGCTGTTTAGGAGCTCCCATGCAGGTGGATGTGTCATTGTTTACAATGAAACTGCACTGTCTGCCTTGAGTAGTAACACATACCTGCAACTTCAGTGCTCAAAGAACTCAGTTGTAGGGATAAATGGATATTTAATGTGAGATGCTGATTGAATGTTTCAGAGATGGATTCAATATTGTGCCAATATTACTTTTAGTGTTCCTCTAAAAAAGAGGCTCCCCCATGGTGTCAGTATGATTCAACTCTAGAAGTTGCCAATTTAATAAAATAATAACAGGACAGAGAAGGATCTTTTCTGCCTTCATCAGGATACACCTGGAGCAGAGAACCTGAGGTCAGAGAAACACAGTAAGTCTTCACCTCAACTGTAGTGCCCATATCAATATGGCACATTCAGATACAGATTCAACAGAGCGAGGAGGCAGCACCTTAGTACTCACAGATTGGTGAACAACTATATAAAATGTATTACATGGAGAAGTAAGTAGAAACCAGCAAATGCATGCTGTAAGTCAATTTATTTCCTGTCCTCCAGTTGGGGGAGGAAAGGACAGTACTTAGACAAGATTCCTCATGGGTGGAAGTACATGTCCTTAGACAACTCTGTCTCTGTCTCTGTCTGTCTGTCTATGTCTCTCTCTGTCTCTCTGTCTCTCTGTCCCTGTCTCTCTGTCTCTCTCTCTCTCTCTCTCTCTCTCTCTCTCTCTCTCTCTCTCTCTCTCTCTCTCTCTCTCTCTCTCTCTCTCTCTCTCTGCCTGTGTATCTCTCCTATTCCAGGACAATTTTCCTCTTATTCTGTGACAGAGCTGGTGTTAATAAAGCTTTATAGGAGTTGAATGTTTTCATTTATGAAGGATGGACTTATAATATGATTCCAGGACAGAGAAAATCCAATTACATCTGTATAACTTGGTTTCTATGAAAGTATAAATATATGCATACTTGCTACAAATATTAAAGCAAAACTATATGTTGAGGGGCATCAGCTGACTGCCGTCTGTTTTGCTCTAATTTCAATATCATGAATAACATGCACTGACAGTTCCTAAAGGGAAGCATATGGAGCCAATAAGCTGAAGGTCTTCTCTCCTATCTACATCACAGTCTCTGAATGTAATGGTGTTGGCAATGAAATCCACAGAGGCTGTTGGAATGTCCCCAATGCACAAATTTCATTTTTATTTATTTATTTATTTTTTGGTTTTGCGAGACAGGGTTTCACTGTGGTTTGGAGGCTACCCTGGAACTAGCTCTTGTAAACCAGGTTGGTATTGAGCTCACAGAGATCTTCCAGCCTTTGCCTCTTGAGTGCTGGTATTAAAGGTGTGCACCACCACTGCCCGGCCAAGTGCACAACTTTAATACCAACTTCAGCTGCCATTTATTTCTTAGGTACTGGTGGATCTACAGTGCTTCCTGCTGATTTGGAGAAACCACAATTATATATTTGTCTCTGGGCTGACCCAGAGTGCCCAAACTATGGCTCTTCCTTCTTTCTTCATTGTCATTGGTTATGTTGAATATATATTTCAAGGATAAATGGGGAGCTGTGCCTCAATTTTTTTCCAGATTCATGAAACCCAGTTTTTTTAGTGTTGTTGCATGTAACTATCACAGTGACCCCAAGTACTAGGCAGTGTCTACAAGAACAAAATTCTTTTTGCTCTACCAGAGCAAAATTCAAACACTCTGTAGGATAAAGGGGACCACCAGGTATCCAACGCCCTCTGGCTATTGATGGTGTATCAGTGGAGGTCCATGTTCTATAAAGACTTGAGAATGTGGGGCAGGTAACTGACCCTGGGAAGCAAGTAAATATGGGACCAGGTAATAATGTAAGCTCTAAGAACCTACCACTTTGTACATGTAAACACACTGAATTCATTTTTTTGTGAAAAATAATGTAATAATTTTTTGACAAACTTACATGAATTATACTTGTGTGGCAATGCATTTTCATATGTATATCACATTCTAAGAGACTGAATCTTCAGCTAAACAACCCAGAGTTAATGATACCCCTGATGTCACGTGAAATTTCAGACTATGAAAATAATTTTTTACCAAGATTTTATTACTTGGACTTTATTGGTCAAATTCATATTTCAGATTTTTTAAAAGCTACACCAACAAAAGTCTCAGGCTCATAGAATCCGGACATATTTTTAGCATAATGCATCATCACAATTTTCAAATTGACTGTTTTATTAATGAAGAATCGTGTCAAGAGAGGTAGTCACTGGTGAACAAATTGTCAAGGTATGGAGTACACTGAGGCATCCTAAAGCAGTATCTACTCATGTGAGAAACTGGTAGGAATGTGCAAAGTGACAAAGGGACACTCAGATTGAATATTTCTGAATAAACACCCAGGATTATCTTTTCTGTCATCTCAGGCCTAGGGCAGCTTCCTGCTTCTCCACGGTTTCTGTCACACTCAGGATGTGGTTGCAACACTGTGTGTCTTGCACAGTAATAGATGGCAGAATCCTCAGATGTCAGGCTGCTGAGCTCCATGTAGGCTGTGCTGGAGGATTTATCTGCAGTCAGTGTGGCCTTGCCCTGTAATTTTTGATTGTAGCTTGTACCACCACCTCCACCATAAACATATCCTATCCACTGCAGGCTTTCTCCAGGCTTCTGCTTCACCCAGGAAATATAGTAACTTGTGAAAGTGTAGCCTGAAGTCTTGCAGGACAGCTTCACTGAGGCCCCAGGTTTCCCTAGTTCAGAACCGGACTGCTGCAGCTTGACCTGGGAATGGACACCTGGGGAGAGAAATGCAGAGTAGACATCAATGTCACCTTAGTCCCTGCCTCATCCTCATGTTTGGAATTGGAAGTAACTTACCGGTAATTACTGATACCAAGAAGAAAATAATGCAGCTCCATGTCATGGTGAGGACCTGTGTACTAAGTGACTGTACAAGGACACTGAACATATGTTGTTGGTGATGTGGACATCCCTGTATTTACAACCATAGACTTACATGATTTGCATATTCATGAGCAGTGAATTTCTTTAAATACAGACCTAGTACAGCTGAAGAAAAAGGTGGCTGAGGACACATGAATCAGGCAAAGTATGTTGAGGACTAAATCCTAAACTTTTCTTAGGAAGTGCATCCTTACCCTTCCCTCAGGTCTGTGTTGTTCCTGGGGGTGTAACATCAGGTCTTGTACGGCATCTTTCTGTGATCTTTCTCTGCCTAACAATCCCAGAATTCTCGTAGATTCCTAGTCCCAATCTATCTTCCTTCCTCTATTGGTCAAACAGTGTCTTATTCATCAACAAATAAGAAAAACATATATCCAAAGCGAAATCTTCCGCTGGATATCAACTGTGTGTGACAGATACAAAGGATCAGAGATGCAAGGTTCATTGATGCCTGAATGTAGGGAAGGCAGGCAACAGACTCTTCTGAAGAAAGAACTTCATTTCTAATCAGGAACCCTGATGTTGTGTTTCAGACTCCTTGTTCATGGAGGACATAAAACTGTGGTATTCTGTTTTATACTGTGATATAAGTGGTAGTGAATATAAAAATTTTTCTTAATTATTTCAGATGTAGTTGAATTATTTCTGGTTCCAAGGGAAAAATAAAGACAAGTGAGGAGTATGTAGTGTAAAAATTAAAATCCAGCAATATAATCCAACAAGTTTATATAAATACAGATTAACTCTCCCTCTCGAATAATGACTTAAAAATTAGAAAATATTATTGTAAAGTTGTATTAGAGTACATCAATGCCCTTATACCATTTCTCTGAACTACTTCCTTACATTCAAAATTCAAGAGTTCAGATATAGTCAAATTGAGAGTTTATTTAATGTTTCCAATCAGTTCTGTAGGCATGTCCTGGTCTTCCTGATCATCATTGTAACACGCTAGGTGAAAAGCACTATAGAGAGAGCAGGTGTTAGATAAACTGTAACTACAAACTCATAATTCAAAATTCTCAAGCACTTGGATTGAAAAATGATGGTACTGTTAGGTGATTTCTGTGAGGAGAGCATGGTATATGTTGATAACGTGAGTAACTGGATTCAATGTATGCGTGGAGTAGACAAACAACCAAACATGCATTTAGTTTATGTGTAAATTCTGATACCAGAAATTCACCTCTTCTCCTTATAGACAAGGACTCATCCCTACAATTCAGAGTACTGGATGGTATTATCTGGACATTTCACAATCTCTTTCTATAAAGCTGCATTTCATACTCCAATCCATGGGATTCTGATGACTATCATAGGCTGAAATGGACAAGAGTGCTTACCTACTTAAATACAATGGAGACATTCTCCTCTTAAAATTCACAAAATTCTCAGACCTTGAAGAATATAAATAGATAATATTAGTTTAATTCCTTAATTAAGGCAGTATTACAGTTACGGTATGTGCACATCTGGTGCAATGGATATCAAAGTATCAAGAGTTTTTTTTATTAAATCACACATGGATTTCTAGCTTTTTGTCCTTTCTCCCTCTTTCACACGAGAACCTGTGTGGACAGAGCACTTCCATCCCAGTGAGAATCCAGTCACCAAATCCATGTTCATTAAAGTGAACTATACTTCAAGAGTTCAGTGGTCATCTGAACCTCCTTACAGTTAAACATATTTTTGATGCAGAGGACTATTTTGACCATACTGGGACAGAGCTTTGGATGCTGCTGTCCATTCCACAGCAGTGATCAGCAGAAATGTGCACACCTCTTGCCCTAATTGGGACACTTTTCCCAAAATGTTGCTCAGGATCCCGATCTCAAATACCCTTAACATTTCCTGATAATTCATTCAAGAATTATTGTCTTATCCAGCAACTGTGTGAATCCATTCTAAATTTTGTTGACCTCATTATGGATTTTATTTAACGAATAATATCTCCCATGTTGTAGCATGGAGATCTCTGATGTCAACTACACCTTGGGCTCTGAATATATTGACACTGGCAATGAAATGAGAAGAATTTGTTTAAATCTCCTGATTGCACAGCAACATTACCTGCTTCTGTGGTTCTTTACTTCTTAGAGGTTGATGGATCCACAGTGTCCCCTGCTGCTTCTGAGAACAGGCTTTTTTAAGTTTTCATATACAGACTCTCACTATAACTCTTACTCATGTTCTTGGTAATGGACCTGGTGATGCTGAACAGAGATTTCAAGTATGGATGAAGAGCTGTGCCTCAAAGTCTTTCTCCATGAACTTAGTCCTTTCTCTAGGGTCTATTAGATGTAGCTTTTGGTATGACCACTTGTGATTAATGGAGTAACCAGAGAAGCACACATAATGGACAGAACTCACAACTGCTTTATAAAGCAATTTCCTAACCTCAACCTGTACATGGCACAGAAAACTAACAACACCTGGTATATGAATAAATTTGTACATGCAGATCTGTTCCCAACTCTAGAAAGTATTTTCAAATTTGAGATGTAACAAGAATTTAGGGAAGTTTGGATGGGGGTTCATTCTGTGTGCTAACTGAGCATGTGTATCATGGGTTGGCTGTACATTTCCATGTAAGACTTAGAAGGGTTTGTTCTTCCATTTCTTGCATATTTTGGTTTGCTTTTTGTTCCATTTCTCGCATTTTTTTGCTTCGTTTCTTCTTCCATTTCCTGCATTTTTTGGTTTGTTTTTTCTTCCAATTCTTGCATTTTTTGGTTTGTTTTTTCTTCCATTTCTTGCATTTTTTTTTTTGGTTTTGCGAGACAGGGTTTCTCTGTATTGTTTTGTTTTTTTTTCATTTCTTGCATTTTTTTGGTTTGTTTTTTCTTCCATTTCTTTGAGGGATTTTCCTATATCCTCTTTTAGGGCCTCTATCATTTTCATGAAATTGCTTTTAAGGTCGTTCTCTTCTGCTTCGTTAGCATTGGAATGTTGGAGTCTTGCTGGTGTGGAGTCTCTAGAATCTGGCGGTGTCATATTTGTTTTTCTGCTGCTGAGTGTGTTTTGTATTGTCTCTTTCCCATCTCTTCTTCTAGTGAGTGCAGAAAGAGCCCCTTACTGGTCTGGGTACCAGAGTTCCCTTTTGGTGGGTGCTAGCAAGTCCAATAATCTGGTAGTTCTTCTATTCCTTGTCCAAGTGCTGATCCCGTGGGTGGAGAAGAAGAACAGGAATCTGGAGCGCTTAGCCTCCTACCTGTTCCCATGGACACTATGATGGGTCCTATTGAACCTGATCCGGAACAGCTACGCCCCTGGTCTCCCTGGCTCCTCTGGTTACCTGGTCTCGTTGGCTGGAACCAGAAAAACATAGGCATTAGAGAATCCCTCTCTACCAACAACCAAAAGAACAAAGGGGTGAAATTCCACACATAATTCCACCAACAACAACCATTGCAAATCGAAGAAGGATAAGCAATCAATGGTCATTAATATCCCTCAATATTAATGGCCTTAACTCACCCATAAAAAGACACAGGCTAGCAGAATGGATTCGAAGACAGAACCCTTCCTTCTGCTGCATACAAGAAACACACCTCACCCTCAAAGACAGAATTACCTGAGAGTTAAAGGTTGGGAAAAAATTGTTCAATCAAATGGACCCAAAACACAAGCAGGGGTAGCAATCCTAATATATAACAAACTGGACTTTAAAATAAAATCAATCAAAAGAGATGAAGGAGGTCATTACATACTCATCACAGGTGAAACCCACCAAGATGAAGTGTCTATCCTGAGCATCCACATTCGTTAAAGAAACATTATTAGAACTTAAATCTCATCTAAAGCCCCACACAGTTATAGTGGGAGATTTCAACACACCACTCTCACCACTAGACAGGAATACCAGACAGAAACTCAACAAAGAAGCAAAGGGTCTAATACAAGTAATGACCCGCCTGGGATTAACAGACATCTATAGAACATTTCATCCACATAAAAAAGAATATACCTTCTTCTCACCACCACATGGAACCTTCTCAAAAATCGACCACATACTTGGCAACATATCAAACCCCAGCAGCTACAAAAAAATTGGAATAACTCCACACATCTTATCAGACCACCGTGCTTTAAAATTTGAATTCAACAACAACACAAATTGCAGAAAACCTACAAACTCATGGAAATTGAATAATGCTCAACGGCACCATCTCTGGGTCAAAGAGGAAATAAAAAAAGAAATTAAAGACTTCCTCGAATTCAATGAGAATGAAGACACAACATACCCAAACCTATGGGACACTTTGAAAGCAGTGCTACGGGGGAAGTTCATAGCACTAAGTGCTCACATGAAGAATCAGGAGAACAGTTATACCAGAAAATTAACATCACAGCTGAAAGCTCTAGAACACAAAGAAGCAAACTCACCCAGGAGGAGTAGACGCCAGGAAATAATCAAATTGAGGGCTGAAATCAATAAAGTAGAAACCAGGAAAACAATACAAAGAAGAAACCATCCTGAGTGAGGTAACACAGTCACAAAAAGAGAAACATAGCATGTACTCTCTCATATATGGATTTTAGACATAGATCTGGGAGGACCAGCCTACAATCCTATGGCCAGAGAGTCTGGGAAACAGAAACTTCATTTAGTGGCTGATCGAAGATGTGGCAGACTCCCTAGGTTAAGTACTGAGCTGAACTCAAGAAAGCCAGTAACAGAGAGGGAGGATCAAAGGGATTAAGACTGGGCTGGTTTAACCCCCAGAAACAGCTGACCAGACAAAGGTTAACTCTTGAATCCCAGGCATCAGCCTGGGAATCCAGCATGGGACTGATCAAGACCCCCTGAATCTGGGTGTCAGTGAGGAGGCCTAGGTAATCTATTGAGCCTTGGACAGCAGATCAGTACCCATCCCAAGTATACACACGGATTTTGGACTCCCATAGAACAATGTGAGGTGCACTCTCACCCTGAATTCTTGGGCAAGGGTCTAGGCCCTGCCCTATATGAAATGACAGACTATGGACACCCACA